CTCACTTCAGTTCTATTGGTTTTTGCTACATATATTTTGGGGCTTTGTTGTAATCTGTGTATATGTTTATAATTGTTTTATCTTCTTGATGGATTGACTCATCAATATGTCCTTCTTTGTCTCTTATGACCTTTTCTCACTTAAAATCTATTTTGTCTGATATTAGCTTGGCCACTCCAGCTCACTTTTGGTTACTATTTGCATGAAATATCTATTCTGCCCTTTGTGTCTTTTTATCTAGGGTGAGCCTCTTGTGGGTAGCATGTTGTTGTTGTTGTCAGGTGTTGTCGAGTTTGTTCTGACTCATAGTGACCCTACGTGCAACAGAATAGCATATAGATGGATTAAAAAAAAAAACCTATTCCAATCTCTGCCTTTTAAATTGGAGAGTTTGGTCCATTTACATTTAAAGGAATTAATGATAAATATTTCTGCCATTTAGCTATTTTTTCCTGTATATTTTTTATGCTTTTTGTGCCTCAGTTCCTCCTTTATAGCTTTTTTATATTTAGTTGATTTTTTGTAGTAGAGTCATCCCTCAGTATCTGGAGGAGGATTGGTTCCAGGACCCCCCGGATACCAAAATCCATGGATGCTCAAGTCCCTTATATAAAATGGCATAGTATTTGCATCAGAATCAACTCAAGGGCAATGGGTTTGGTTTAGTATTTGCATATAACCTACATACATCCTCCTGTATACTTTAAATCATCTCTAGATTACTTATAATACCTAATACAATGGAAATGCTATGTAAATAGTTAATGCTTACACTTAACACTTAATGCTTTCTCAGACTTTGCAAAGCTCAAACAATGAGTGCTGGAAACAGGATCTGTCAAATGGAGGGAGGCTACAGCAGGGTATGCCTACACGTCATTTCATTTGCGTGGATTCAGCGTAGTGCTCGGCGCGTGGCATCTTCACATTTTGCTTTTTAGAACTTTTTCTTTTTTGAATATTTTCAATCCACAGTTGGCTGAATATGCAGATGCAGAACTCATGGATACAGAGGGCCTACTGTATACTATATAGTATATGTTTTTTCTGTATATATTTTTTATTTTCTTAATGGTTATCTTTGGGATTATACTTACCATCGTATAACAACCTTGTTTCAATAACATGAAAACACTCTGCTCCTATTATTTCTGTCCTTAACATTTTTATTGTTACGGATTACATCTTTATACATATGAGCCCATTAACATAAATTTATAATTATTGTTTTATGCATTTGTCTTTAAATCATACAGAGAAAAAAGGGGAATTACAAACTAAAGTACAATAATACTGGCTTTCATATTTACCTTTGGAGCTACTTTTTACCAGTATTGTTTATTTCTTTATATGGCTTTGAGTTACTGTCTAGTTCCTTTCATTTCAGCCTGAAGCACTTCTTTTAGCATTTCTTGTAGGATGAGTCTATTAGTAACAAACTCCCTTAGCTTTTGTTTCTCTGAGAATATCTTAATTTCATTACTGAAGGATAGTTTTGCTGGATATAGAATTGTTGGTTGACAATTTTTTCTTTCAACACTTTAAAGGTGCCTCTTGCTGCTTTTTGGCCTCCATGGTTTCTGATGAGAAATCAAGTATTTATCTTATTGAGGATTCCTTGTACATGATGAGTTAGTTCTCTTGCTGCTTTCAAGATTCTCTTTGAGTTTTGACAATTTGAATATAATATGTCTTGGTGTTGATCTCTTTTGAGTTTATCCTGCTTGGAGTTCACTGAGCTTCTATGTGTAGATTTGTGTCTTTCATCATATTTTGGAAGTTTTGGGCTATGATTTCTTCAAATATTCTTTCTGACCCTTTCTTGCTCCCTTTTCCTTCTGGGACTCCCATAATGCCTATGTTGGTCGGCTTGATGGTGTCCCACAGGCTCTGTTCACTTTTCCTCATTCTTTTTTCTTTCTGCTCCACAGTCTGGATAACTTCAACTGTCCTATTGTCAAGATCCTTGATTCTTTCTTCTGTCTACTCACATCTGCTTTTGAACCCCTCTAGTATACTTTTCAGTTCCAGAATTTTTATTTGGTTCCTTTTACTAATGTCTGTCTCTTTATTGGTATTCTAATTTTGTTGATACACTGTTTTCCTGGCTTTAGTTCTCTACCTATGGTTCCATTTGGCTCTTTGTGCATATTTAAGACAGTTGATTTAAAGTCTTTGTTTAGTAAGTTAACGTCTGGGCTTCCTCAGATATGGTTTCTTTTTTTCTTTTGGATGGGCCATACTTTCTTGTTTCTTTGTATGCTTTGTGATTTTTTGTTGAAAACTGGGCATTCAAATATTATAATGTGGTAATTTTGGAAATCAGATTCTCCCCCTTCTCCAGGATTTTCTGTTATTATCGAAGGCTTAGCTTGTGTTTAGCCGGAGATTTCTTGAATGCCAGGAAATTAAGCCCCCTCCAAAAAAAATCTCTCCCAGTCTTTGTAAATTGGCTCTGTGCTGGGACACTCCTTTAACAGTTAGGCTATGTCTTACTTATCTATTGCTGCTATAACAAAAATACCACAAGTGGATAGTTTTAACAAACAGAAATTTATTCTCTCACAGTTTAGGACGCTAGACATCTGAATTCAGGATGCCAGCTCCAGGGGAAGGCTTTCTCTGTTGGCCCTGGGGGAAGGTCCTTGTCATCAATCTTCCTTTGTGTCTAGGATTTTCTCAGCACAGGGATCCTGGGTCCAAAGGACGTGCTCTGCTCCTGGTTCTTTCTTGGTGGTAGGAAGCCCCCCTCTCTCTGCTTCCTTCCCTCTTCTTTTACCTCTTGTAAGATAAAAGGTGAGGCAGGCTATACCCCAGGGAAACTCCCCTTACATGAGATCAGGGTTGTGACCTGAGTAAGGGTGTTGCATCCCACCCTAATCCTCTTTAACATAACCTAATCTTACCTCATTAACCACAGGCAGAGATTATGATTTACAACACGTACGACAATTACATCAGATCACAAAATGGAAGAAAACCACACAATACTGGGAATCATGGCCTAGCCAAGTTGACACATATCCTGGGGGGACACAATTCAATCCATGAAAAGCTGTTTACAATTTTGCCTCAGCCTTTACTTCCTGCTTGCACTAAGCCTATAGATCAACCAGTATTAGAGTCTTCTTAGACCTTTTCTGAACACGCATCCTATCCTGGGCATGGGCATGCATGTGGCTTTCTATTCACCAGTATACATGAGCACTTTTGAATGCCCTGATTTCCCAAAGAATCTCTCTGGCTTTTCCTCCCTGTCTTTAGGCAATCTACTGTATGCCCCTAGGCAGCTGATGGCTTTCTGATGGCCTTACAGTGTTTCTGAGCGAAGCCTACAGTTTTTCTGCCCTGGGTCGGTTCTGAGTTAGGCAAAACAGAGACAAGCACCTTGCATCAGTCCTTCAAGTAGTCCCCCAGACAGGTTAGAACACAATAATTTGCAAATAAGGTCGTCTCTGCCTCCTCTGGAATCACGGTCCTACATTGGGAATGTGGACTGCCATCTTCAAGAGTGCCACTGAGCTGGGGAGTGGGATAAGGGCAAGTAAAGATGCCACAAAGCTTTCCTACCATTTTTAAGTTGCCTTTTTCTTGATTCAGCACTCGCTTGGTTGCTGTAAATCTGACTGTTTTCCAGAGTTCTGATAAAGTTGGTTCTGACAGTTTATTATTTCTGTGGAGGGACAGGAGTCTGGAGTTGCCTTCTCCTCCACTTTGCTGACATCCTCCACCACAACTTTTATATATTGACCTTGCTAGTTGCTTCATCAATTGCTGAAAGAGGGGTGTTAAAGTCTCCAACTGTGGTTGTGGAGTTATTTTTCCCTTTAATTGTTATATTTTGTTTCATATACATTCATTATGATTATGGAAGGCAAATCTTTCTTCCACCTGTTTACTTTAAAGTGCATCTCTTCTAGTCAGTATATCATTGGGTCTTGCCTTTTTTAATCCATGTGTACAATATCTGCCTTTTAATGGGAGTGTTTAGTCTATTGATGTTCAACATAATTGATATGGATAAAGTTTACTATTTTACTGTTTTTTCTGTCTTATCTTTACTTATTATTCTTTCTTTCCTTCCCTTTTTTAAAAAATATTTTGAAAAATTTATTCTAACTTACATATTGACTTTTTATTTATATTGCTCAGGACTCAAATGCGTCTCCTGAACCTGAGTATTGGGGTTTTGCATCAATTCTTGAAATTTGTTAGATGTAGATTGGAGTTTCTCATTCAGCCTTTCTTCTCTTTATATCTTTATGCCTCATTTGTGGTAACCTCCTTTGTTCTTTCAAATCAATCAGTTTTCTCTTTACCTATGTCATATCTGCTACTCAACTCATATGCTGCTTTTTTAATTTCGATGACTTATTTCTAGATGTTCTATGTAGTGTTTTTTTTTGTTTGTTTAAAATAACAGGGCCATTCGGGGTTGGGAGTAGAGGGTTTGTGCTTGTGATGCAAAGGTTCTGAAGCCCCAGAGCGGAGCACTTGAAAATGAACTAGAGGCAGACCCCAGGGGAACAGACACAATTGTTTGGCGTGGGGTATCCCCGGTGGAGATGGGCTGGTGAAGGCAGTGGAGGGTTAGAGCAGAAGCAGACATGGAACAAGCCTCTGTGGAAAAGAGGCCATCGTGGGACAGCTTCAAGGCGAAGAAGTCAGTTTGGGAAAATAAAGTTATTTTTGTACATCTGTGCTGTAGTGAGTCTGTTCATGTGATGCTCAAGTCTGTTGAGCCATAATCAGTGCCCCTGGTCAACCTCCCCCACCCCACCCACAGGTGTTGTTTGACCTTCCTTATCTATTATTAACAGAGGTGGACAGCCCTACCCTGTAGTGTAGGCTGTGTGGTTACAGGATCCCAGATGGAAGGTCCTTTGGAGAGGAAATGATGTGCAAGCAAGCCCAGGCTGAAAGGCTCCCATAAGAACCAACAATACTGGGTTAGAGCGAGAAGGCAGCACAGGGCCTGCCCCCTCCCAGTCTCACCCCTTAGCTGAACGCGGACTTAATATTTGACATTAAACCTCAGGAACTTTTTAGAGTTTTTAGAGTTTTTATTTTGTCCAAGTTGGATATAATTTTTTTTTTACACGTGCACAAAAATACTTCAGGTACCAACGAAATAAGACAGGTAGGAATGTGTCCAGTGCAAACAAAGTATTCACACCAATGCAGACAGTGCCATCAGACAACTTTCATTTTTACAACGTCACCAAAGCAACACTACACATGTCACACGTAAGGGAAGACCAGATTGCCAAGCTCTGAAGGTATGGGTCTTCTCTTGTAAAAAATCCACTGGGTGGAGGCAGGCCGCCTATGGCTCTGCCCACCAGGTGTGCGTCTCCTGCGCAGCAGCCCAGAGTTGGAAGGCTTGTCCAAGAGACCACATGGCTCATGGCTGCAGGAAGGGACTGCATGAGCGTACGCACACACACAGAGCTACCCGAGCGCGCTGGCTGTAGCGTGCAGGAAGGCAGATGGCGCTATGCTCAGTACGGGATGTCATTCTGATAGTATTGGATTATGTCATAGGTCCGGCTCCTGAAAGGCCAAGAGAGCAGAGGGGGGCTGTGAGGAAGCCTGGTCTGGGTCCCTCCACCCTCCCAGCCTCCACGGCTGCTCCACATCCAGCCAAAGTGTACCCTGGAGTCACCCCTGCTCCCTGCAAGTGTGGATGCACAGAAGCCGATCCCCTCCTCTTCCCTGGATGTTCTCCCTCAGCCCCCTCCTCACACTCAGCAGATGTTCCTCTTTCTTACTGCACTGACAAGACAGAGGCAATCAGGACATCTTCCTCATCCTCCTTCCCCCAAACCCTCTTGTCCACTGAGAGGTGGCGTTCTAGCAACTCTGCTCTGCCCAGGTGCCCAGTCAGCACTCCACCACCCACATCTGCCTTGAGCTATCCCACTCTTGCTTTGCCATGAAAACTCTGTCTGTGCTCCTATTTTCAAGTCATCACCATCTCCCCCTGTACCCACTCCCACCCTTGTGAGGGACTACCCAGGGTCAGTTCTTGGTCCCCTGATGCATCATCCGGCAGGTCCCTGGCTCCTGGCACCTGCCTCCATGCCCCCCTCCTCCTGAATCTCGATGTCGAGGGTCCCACAGCTAGATGGCCTCCCCCAGACCCCCAGCATCTTTAGATGCCTCTCTATGCAGACGCCTCATCAGCATCTTAATCCGAACTCCATCTCCTTCACCCCATCCACTAGAATCTCATTTATCCGGTTGTTCCTGCCACACATCCCAAAGCCATCTCTGACTCCCTTCTCTAACCTCACAGCCCATCAGTTAGTCCTATGGGCTCTGCCTTCAAAACCTGCACCAACCCTTCTCACAGCCTCCACCTTCACCACTCTTTGCTCGGCAGCTGGGGTGGTACACAAAAGAGGAGTGGAAGACCTGACTTCAAAGCCTCCCCTCTGGCCTAACGTGAAGCCAGAGCTGCCTCGGCCTCGGGTCCTGTTGCCTCTCTGAACTCACTCTGCTCCTGGCTCTCGCTGGTCAGTCCCACCCCACAGGTTTGCCTGACCTCCCTCAGGCCCCTGCCCCTTGAACCAGCGCCTGTCACTCTGAACCAGTTGCTCCAAGAGACTCCCTCCAGGGACGCCACTCCCTGACTGGTCACACTTATGGGGGTGGCCCCAGAGTAACAGCTCCACGACACCCTTGTCCCCTGGACGAGGGCCGGCACAGCACAAGTCCTCAGTGGGTGGATGCAGGCAGGACAGCAGGTGGGGGACTCACCTGTTGCTGAGGAAGCAGTTCTGAATGATCTTCATGATGAAATTTGCAGCCTCTCGCTCTGTCATGTTGGGACTGAACCTGTGCCTGTGAGGGAGGACCCAGTCAGCACCTGGGGGCCGGGGCCAGGTCTGTGAGGTGGCCGACCATCCCCACTGTGATGGTCATCTTACTTGGGGGCTGGGGTTTAGAATTTGTGAGAACTTGTTAGCTGAGGCTCCCTCAGATCCCTGGGTCAGGGTTGGGAGACAGTGTTGTGAGGGCCCAGCCAGGCCTGTTGTGGAGACAGTGTTCCCAGCTGGCTCTAAAGGGCCCTGTTCCCTCCCAGCATGTACTCGGGGCCAGAATAAGTCTCACCCAAGGGGTGGACGAAGCTGGGCAGGGCCAGGTGCCATGCACCTGGAGAAATACAGAGCAGGGACTCCTGGCATGTTCTTGGTATGGCTGGCCAAGGCCGGGGCACCTCACAAACATGGTTTGCTGCCCACGTCTTGCCCAGGGGCCGGGTCATCTCACCAACGTGGTCTGGTGACCCTGTGTGACCTAGTGCCCTGTCTGCTCTAGGGGAATCCCTGAAAGTCTTTGGGGCTTCAAGGAGTTCACTCAGCCTAGATAGTGATGATAGCTACAAGCACTTAAGAGGCTGCTAATCTCGAGTGGCACTGCAGCTAATGGACAACTGTCTCTCAATGGCCTGCGTGTCAGCCAAGGACTTACTTCAAGAGCTTGATTGTCTGGCCTCGGAAACAGGGCAGGCCTGTGTCTAACATGAGAGTGACCAGGGAGACAACTGCATCCATGTAGGGCCTGGAAAGAGATGAGGGTGGGAGGTGGGCAGGGTAGCTTGAGCAGGTGGCGGGGCCTCGCTCTGCCCTCAGTCTGCAGCTGGCTGCTGCCCACAACCCAGTGCATGGCTGGGCTCCTGCATGCCCTGGTTCTACAGCAGCCCTCTTCACACCAGATCTGTGGCCCCCAGGGCCCCTGCACACCAGGCGTGCCCCAGCCAGCCAGCAAGCCCTGAGCGCAGAGGCCTACCAGTTGCTGGCTGAGTGGCCCACCTCAGTGAAGGCAAGGCCCGAGGAAGCACAGATGCTCCATGCACACCAGCCTGGCCCTCACTTTTTTGCTGTGCAGTGTTGCATGCACACAGTGATGCAGGCTCTGGACAGATTCCCAGGTGGGAGTCCAGATGTCACCACGGTGTGCTGTGTAACCTGGGTCAAGTGATCCTCGGTGTGAACCTGGGACAATGACCATCTCTGGTGGGCAGCCTGGAGTAGCACACACTCAGCATTTGATGGCAGATGCACAGAAGATGGGCCCAAGGCTGAGGGCATCGGCAGGAAGAGGGGAAGCTGCAGGAGACTGCAGGAGCCGTCACTGGCATGGGGCAGAGGCAGCAGGAAGCCAGGCCCAGCATACCTGGCCACCAGGTGTGTGGCCTCTAGTGCCTCCTTTATTTTCTCTGCACCTCAGTCCCTTCATCCACGAAGGGTCCCAAGAAAGCCACTCCACAGGGCCTTCAAGGGTCACCGAGACAGGCTTCCAGATGCTGGCACTTGGACTGGTGCTGACCTGCCTACTACTCGCCCCCTTGTCCCCGACCCGGGGAGCCTGCCCCACCTGGGAAGTCCACGCTTTCACCCAGTGCCCAGATGCCTAGTCACCCCTCAGCCCAGGGCTCACCTCACCGCCAGGTAGCCACGGACACACATCTCCATAAACCACTTGAAGGGCGTGGCCTCCATCTTGCCCCCCATGATCATCACCATCTCCTCTGTCAGCTTGATGTCCGGCTCCCAGCCCAGGTTGCCACCCGGTGAGCTTTCAAACATGAAGCCAAAGTCTGGAAAAGCCCCAAAGCAATTTGTTACTGATGGGTCCCTGCCAGAAATGTGGGAGCACATTGCTGTGCAGGCAGGTGGTCTGCTCTGAGGAGCACCAGCTCCCATCACACCTGTGAGCAGGGCCATAGGGCTATGCTTTCTTGTGGATGAGGGATGAGAGGAAGAGAGGGAGAGGAGGCCACAGGCTACTGTAGAGACGAGCTAGCACTGTGCCAGACATGCCTGGTCTGCCTGCACCTCCCGGAGCTCCGCTCAGTGCCCCCAGCCTCCCGGTGCATGGCTGAGCTAATCTCCACAGCTGGAAGGCCTCAGCCCTGGACTCAGACCCTGATCTAACTCTCCTAGCCGTGGCCCTGGGCATGCCTGCCAAGGAGTGGGGTCACCACCCTCCTCCTGGGGCCCTGGGGAGGGAGGAAAGGAGGGTGGGTGCCAAGGCCGGCTGACCGATGTGGATGATGTGGCCCTTCTTGTCCAGCATGATGTTGCCGTTGTGCCTGTCTTTGATCTGCAGCAGGAACAGCAGGAGGCTGTAGGCGGCCATGCTCCGGATAAAGTTGTAGCGGGCCTGTGCAGAAAGCCGTGGGCATCACGGGGGCCCTCCGAGAGCAAGCCTGGGACACTGACCTCCCACACCTGGAATTTAGCTTTCTTTCCTCTGGGGAGTCTGGCCTGTGCTGGGCTCCTCTAAGTCCCAAGAAAGGCTGTGGTGGGGCTTCGTTCTACCCGAGGCCTCAGAAAGGCAAGAGAGGGAGGAGTGTGCGAATGCCCCAGATCTGGGGCTGCTCCGGGTACCTGCTGGAAGGCTAAGGTGGACTCGTCTCCATACTGGCGTGTGAAGTAGTCATACATGCCGAAGTCCGTCTGGCGGCCCAGCTGGTCTCTCGAGGTGCAGTCGGGGATACACTCGATCACCCCACACTGAAGAGGAAGGAGCCGGTGCTGAGGCTGCTCAGGGGCTAGAGGGCAGCTCTTAGGCTGAGGCGGTGCAGGGGCCAGTTGGGCTCCAGATAGGGCACTTACCCCAGGGGCAGTGGCTACCACCCGGTAGGGAAACACAAAGAGGTCCAGGCCAACCAGCTGGAAGATGTTCTTGAAGAGGTCGATGATCTGCAGGGCCAGCATGTCCTGGGAGCCGACGGGACAGGCGCTGTCAGCCGCTCATCATGTCCTCTGGCTGGCAGAACCCTGCCCCACCTGCCCACCCCCATGGACATGTAAGTCAGGACCAGCTGCTTCCCCTTGGGCAGCTCCCTCAGGGCAGCCAGTGAGGGGCTGGAAGGAGACAGGTCTAGGTTTTCTAGAGCCCTAATTGACTCCGCGGCACCCAAGCTGGCTGAATGAAAGAAGCAAACACTGTTGGTCAACTCTGAACGTGCTGAGAGCCTTGGAGGGGGGCAGGCCTGGCCCCCAGCCTGCACCCTGAGCGTGGATGCGGGCTCCCCTGGGCCTGGTCCTTTACCTGTCTGCAGTCGTCCCCAACTTTGAAGATGGCAGCCTGCCAGGAGATCTTCTGGGCGTCAGCCTCCTGCGTGCCACTCTCGTCAGAGTCGGAGCCACACCGCAGCCCTGGGCAGGGCAGGAAGGCAGGTTCCTGTTACCCGACGAGAACCCCGAGGGTGCAGGCCAGCCCTGCTCAGTGCCTGGAAGAAACCCTGGGACCCCTGGGGGTTGTCTCTGTAAAACCCCAGACGGTGCCAGGAAGGGGCCCACTGGGGTCCGGGAAACGTCCTGGGTCAGCGGAGGAATCCCAAGGCCGGGTGTTCTAACAACATTTAGGCTTAAACAGAACTGAAAATAGAGCTCGTTTTCCTCCGAGGGAGGGACCCAGGTGTGCCCAGGGTCAGTGATGTGCACTATGTGTTGGGGTCAGGATGAGTGTGTCTGCAAACAAGGGGGATGCGGAGAGGACTTGGGGGCCAAAGTGAGGGGAAGGTGCGGCAGGCCCACCTGCACTGGCCAGAGCCTCACTGCACAGCTGGCCAACCCCCAAGATCCTCAGGCCACTCAGGCTCAAGAAGGTTCCCCCTGGACTTTCTGGCTGGGCATGTTTGGGGGCAGATATGGGGGCAGGCACATCTGTGTCTGCACATGAGCTCAGAGCATCCCAAGTGAGTGGTGGGTCTCAGAATGGAAGCCTGAGTGAGCACCCACTTAGACGGATGAATATCACCTTTTCTGGGGAGATGGTGATAAACTAGCATGAACAAGAAAACTGGCATGAGCAAGGGAACACATTTAGGCCCCAGATAAACCCAGAAATTCCCCACTGACCTTCTTTCTCAAGCTCACTCACTCCACACCGCTTCACCTTGAATTTGGCCAGGTACGGGGCCTTTGCCGCACTGGGGGGAAGAAAGAACGTTGAGGAAGCAATAAAGCAAAGAAAAACTCCCAAAGAATGAGGACGCAGAAGAAGGGGCACTGCACCTCTGCATTGGGGTCCCAGATTTGTAGTCAATGTCCAGGACAATGGCCTCAGGGTTGCTGGGCAGGTAGCAGCCTGGTGTGGGGGAACAGAGCAGAGTCACAGGGGCCCCATGGGATGGCAGGGAATGACACACTGGCCACCACACACCCTGTCTCGCAGAAGTGGTTGCACTCGAGGGGCTTTGGCCTGCAGGCACTGGGGACTGCTCAGTCCATGGCCTTTACAGGTGTTCCTCCCTGGTGGCCTTTAAAGTGATCCCCAGATATGCTAACAAATGAACCACAGCCTTAGGGAGGATGGCTTCTCCAAAGAGGACACACAGCCCACAGCTTGAAGACGAAAGCAAGTGGATTCCCCAGGCCTGTTGGCCTCCCACAGACCGGAGGTGGGGCGGCCCCTCTCAGAGCCTCTTGCCCTGCCCCCACTCATCTGAACACCCTTCCCTGTTACCCACTGCAGCTCTCACTGGATTCCTGTCTTCTTATGGAAACATGGAGGACACAACCACACTGGGCTCAGAGGCCCCCAGGCAACGAGTGACAGGTGCCAAGGAGCAGCTTCCTACTTGAGGTCATGGCCCACCCATGCTGTCCCTGGCCCACCCCTCTGCACTCGTCTGTGTGGCCTGCGTTGCTCCTATTCCACTGGAGTTTGGGACCCCCTTCTGAAATAACAGCTGCAAGAGCAATGCCTTGGCCATCAAGAAAACTGCAGGTAGCACGTAAAAGGGTGATGCTGAGCAGCCCCCAGCTCACCAGAGGCAGGCCTGGAGTGAACGGGGTTGGGGCAGAGGCCCAGGCACAGGCGCTGCCAGGACCTGAGCGTGTGAGGCTGGCCAGGCCGCCGGCCTCCACACCCCCCACACTTGCCCTGCGCTACCCTGGCAGGCTGCAGACTCCGCACCTGCCCACAGGAAGAGGCTGATCTCATGACACTTTGAAGCATCCCTGCTTACCTGGCTGTACTTTCACCTCAGACAGCGCGGACAGACATGCCTTCTTTCTCTCATCTCCTTTAGGGTAGGGCCTGAGGAACAGGACAGAAGTGGTGTCTCCCAGGCCTCCCGTCTGTGGTGCCCACACCACTTCTCGATTCCTGGTTAAAGTTAGGAAGGCCCACTGGCCTTGTTCCTGACAGTCCCTACTCTGCATTCCTCGTCAAGAAGACCATACAGCTCCCTGGGGGCCAGAGGGCAGCTTCTTCTGCTGTCTCAGGCTGGGGATGCACATGTGCTATCAGAGTAATGTCGGCGAGGGGCAGACAGTGGCTGTAGGTCAGAGAGCTTTGGACTCAAATTCCAGCTCTATTGTATGTGCCATGTGACCTGGGGCTGGGCGCCTGGTTAGTGCTGCTTCCCTCTGCCCCTTTTTCTTTGTGGGCTACAGGTTGCCAGTGTCACCTACTCAATGTCCCACCCAGGAGAAGGCCTCTGGGACATGGGGTGGACAAGCGGTGCCCTAGTAAGAGAAGCTGGAGCGCAGCCCAGGGAATGAGGTGCCTGGTGAGAATGGGTCCCCCTGCTGCTCATAGGTCGGGACGCCTCCCCAGGTGCTGGCCATCGCTGACGACTCCCGGGCCCCATCCAATACAAATGGACAATTCCACAGACGCCCGAGGATGGCATCAGAGCCACATGAATGGAGGGCCCAGGATGATGGGTCTGCAAAGGAAATCTGGTTTTCCTAATACCACTAGGATCCTTCACAACTCAGAGAAAGGAGAGGGGTCTCAAACCATGGGACAACATAAGGAAGGAAACTAGGATATGCTTTCTGAAAACAGCCTGGCCATGCATTTCCCGTACTTCCACGAGACCTGAATCACCCCAGCAGGGCTTTTCTTAGCCTGCCGCTCAGCAGAACACCAGCCTACCCTGGAATTTCTCATTTATCTGGTCTGGAGGGGACCAGGCATTCCTAACCTAACACATAGCCTGGATCAGGACTGGCTAGCCCAGAGGAGCAGATCCTAAGACTATTTCAAAGCCCTGCCACTTACTTGATGATGGCCGACACATTGGTGATCTTGTTGAAGAAGTCAAATTCCCGCTGGTAGAAGTCCTTGGCTGGGCCCGACAAGGAGCCTGTGATCTCCTCCACCAACTGCTCAAGCAGATCGCCAATGTCAGCTGAACGGAGAGAGAGAGAGCTGAGCCCGGCGGCTGCCCTTCAGGAACCCCAGCAGGAGACCCGTAGGTCTTTTTCAGACACTCAGTCCACAGTATTGCACAACGCTGAGGTCAGCAGTTCTCAAAGTGTGGCCCACAGATGCCGAGACCCTTTCAGTGGACCCCAAGGTCAAGACCATCCCAAGATGCTCTTTGCGTTTCTCATTGTATGGACATGTGCCATGATGGTGCAAAAGCAATGGTGCCTTAGGATGAATCAAGGCTGCGGTGGCCAAGTGCATCAGTGGTCACTGGGCTCTTCCCTGAAGCACCACTTAATGACGTCTTTAACGAAGGAATAAAACCAAGGAGTTTTGTTAAAACCCTCCCTTTGAGCATAGTCTTTTTAATAAAGTGTGTGGCACCACTGGAATTGCGTGTGAAGGACATCTGCTGCGTTCTGAAGTACGAGGCTGTCTCGAGGAAAAGAACTAGTGTGCTGGCGTGAGCTATGAGCCAAATTAGTCTCTTTTTTTCATAGAGTTTCATTTTTCCTTGAAAGAATGACTGACAAAAATGTGGCTATTCAGCTTTAGATATCTGGCAGACATTGTTTTGAAAATAAACAAAGTGAGCCTGCCACTTAAAGGAAAACCAACCAACCAACCAGCCCACTGCCTTCGAGTCAATTCCGACTCATAGTGACCCCAGGTGCTACAGAGTAGAACTGCGCTCCATAGTTTTCTTGGCTTCAACTAAAAAATTTTGGAAAACTTGTATCTGCCACTGGGAGCCTGACAGCTGCGCAACACTTAAAAACTTTTCCGATAAGATTGGTGGGGATCTTAGCAAATGTGACACTGTATAATGAAATGTGCCAACATTTGGAAGGTCTGCATAACTCGCTGACCTATGTTTTACAAATGACCAGCACCTGATGTTACAAAATCCTGCATGGGTATGAGCGCAAGGTAGGCCAGTGGATTTTAACTTAATTGACTATAAACAGTTCACTGACAGTCAACAGTGAAACTAACCTTTAAGAAAATACTACTTGACAAGTTTGGTTTAGCTCAATGAAGAATATCCACAATGATCTGAAAAGGCTATTAAAATTCTCCTTTCCAGGATATTGTTGATGTGTTCTGAGATTGTTAACCATTGTCATAGGGCAACATTTGTAGTAACTGTTAAATGAGAAACTCTTTTGTTCTGTAAGCCTTCATCTTAAGTGAGAGTAACAGCACAATTGGAAGAGCGTAGTCAATGTCACTGAACTGC